CCCCCCCGTTCCCCATCCCCTGACCGCCCCCCCAAAACCTCCACTCCCTCTAACCCCCGCCCACCCGCTCCCTGTCCCCAGGACTCCCTGCCCCTGCCTTATCCAACCCACGCCCAGCCCCGGTCTCTTACCATGCCGCTTACCCCTGCCGGGGCCGGAGCCGGGCTGGAGCCACAGGCAGAGTCACGGGGCCAGGCTGGAGGGAGCCACCCGGCCCGGGCCACTCGGCCGGAGCCGGACTGGGCCATGCTGCGCCTCCCTGGAGCCCTTCGCTCACCCTCCCGCCCCGCCCCAGCTTACTTGCTGCTTCTTGTTTCCAGGCTTCCCGCGCGAATATCTGATTCGCGGGAAGCAGGGGAGGGGGAGGAGAAGGGGGGGCGGAGCGTTCAGGAGAGGAGGGGGAGTTGAGCTGGGGGCGGGGTGGACAGCTGCCGCGGGGCCCTCTTAGGCGCGGGGCCTGATTCAGTGGAATCGGTGGAATCGACCTAAGGCCGGCCCTGAGTATGTGATCGCATGGGGCAGGAGGGGGCAGGTCTCTGCAGTACAGAGATGACCCCCAGGTGGGTTGTTCTTCCCGTGTCACCTCTTCTCTGCAGCGTCTCCTTCCCGTGCTCCAGGTACTTCCGCAGCCACTCAACGCAGGTCTGCTCCTGGTATCGCTTCCGATACTGGATGTCGCTGTCACCCCATTTCCGCTTGGTGACCTGGGCCCCAGGGTCTGCCGCTACCCACGTCAGCGTGTTCTTGTCAAAGCTGATGAAGTCGTTCCCATCAAATGCAAACTGGTCAATGCCCCAGGTGCTGCCATCAGCCAAGAGCTTGCAACCATATGTGTTCTGATAAGTGTGAAGGCCTAAGACAGACACACACGGACAGAGCCCCGGGGCCGGGTCGGGATCCGAGTTACATGGTGTAGCCAAGGACCCTGCATCCCCAGGCCAGCCCACCTCACACGTGATCCCCACAAGGACTCCACTGGGCCCTGGGCCTGCCCCATAATCCTGCACCCAACTGAGCAGAGAGGGCAGGTGGGTTCCCAAGTTGCCTGAGGCCACTCTGGCCCTGGGCTAGGTGCTTTCCCCATAACCCAGCTCCCCCATTGCTCAGCCCCCTTCTCCTACCCCCTCTACCTGGCTTCCCTTAACCTGCCCCCTCCATCTGCCCAACAGCTGATGCCCCTCCACCT